ACGGTGACGTCGGGGAACCGTGGGATCGCTGGCACCTTGCCAGCCCCGCGGATTGGGCCCGCCGCCGCACCCATAAGCAAAACCGAGGGGGATAGTCCCACAAGGCCCTCAACCCCTTAGGCTTTCCATCGCAGTCTAGCGTCCCGAACCGGGGCGCGATAGCAAAGGGACCCAGAATAATAAACCAAAGGGAAAATAAAATAAAATAACGGTGACGTCGGGGAACCGTGGGATCGCTGGCACCTTGCCAACCCCGCGGATTGGATCCGCCGCCGCACCCATAAGCAAAACCGAGGGGGATAGCCCCACAAGGCCCTCAACCCCTCAGGCTTTCGCTCCACGCTACTCCGCTGCCGCTGCATCGGCGCCCGCTGGCCTTGATCCCCGAACCTTCATAGTAATAGTCCGCTGTCGTAACCTATATAGGGCTATGCCCAAGGCTGAGACCAACGCCCGCAAAATACCATACAAGGCAGTGAGGCGCGGCGCTTTGGGCCGACAAACCGGCTGCGCGGCTCCCAGCGCCCGCGCCGGCTTGCTCATACTGTGCCATAATTGCCCCACGCGCCATCCTACGACACCCCGCTCACCACACAAAGTCGCGCCGTCTTTGCCGATGTCGTCGTCGGGGTCGATCTTCGCACGCGCGCTCGACTTGGTCGAACGTAGCCTATTGAAAGAAAATATCCCTAGTTCCTGCTTAATCAGAAATAAATAGGTATTAATAATATCATTAAACAAAACGACCGACGTCTGTGCCGGCTCTATAATCAACAACAGAAAAGAATCACGCGCGCCTTAAACCCGCGCGCCCACGCACTCTCTATTGTAGTCAACCACCCGGTCAACGTAACTCTCAGATGCAGCCGCGCCTCGCGCAGCATACTTAACTTTTAGGCCAAACTCATTTCTTCTGTCATTTGCAAAAAAACAGGGCGGATACCCTTGTAAGGGTATTCGCGCCGACAGCTTACCGGACCACATTAAGCGACGTCCCCGTCGCTTCGCAAAACCGAAAAGCCATCAAATTACCCACGATGCTGACGAAAGAGGAACCAATCCGATTAGCCGACAAACACAGGGTAGAGGCCTTCATCAAACCTTGCCTCCACAACTAAATGCTGCCATGTTTCTAACCCGGGCTCTCACCGCCCCGACATTAGGACGCTGACTGCATAAGTTCCAAGGACCTTCCCAATCATCCTCTCCCCGGTCCTAGACAACCTTCGGCTTCTCGTTGGGTGTCCCTAGTCATGGCCAAAACTAGGGACGCGGACCCTAACCGAGACCTTTGAAAGCATTCTCGCCCTCCTTCTCAGAGAATCTCTCGCAATCAAATACATATATGTATATTTATATACTTAATATCCACTCAACTCTTTCTGCAGTCTAGTACAGAAATGCTAGGTCTCCATCTTGGCCCACCATAGTCTGGCTGATCGGACCAGGACTACGGCCTACCGCATTGTTGTTTTAGCGGCAGTACCCTCGTTGGTTACGCAACGATAGGTTTTGTCCTGATAAGCATTCAATCAGGATTTCCCAAAAATTTTCAACCTTTACTACCCCACGGAGTAAGTTCCCTGGGGCGGGCAACTCCCCTTAAACTCTTACTCCGCGGTCCCGCAGCCAGGTTGCGCCGGCTAGCAGCCATCCACTGGGGTTACGCCCTAGAGGTGCTAACCTTTACCGCTTAGCTTGGTATTCCCCTACTATGTCCCATAACTAGCACAAGTGGTTAGATGGAGCGACGCAAAACCAATCACGGACCCACTGCGGGATTACGTAGGGGTCTGAAGTCATTTACCAGCTCTCCCACGAAAGGCATGACATCCTTCGCACAATCACAAACAAAATCCGCTAGGTCCACGAGGTCGTGACCCCTGACTTGATCAGAGCCAGCAGCCACCCATCCTGAGACGTCTCTCGCCCTGCACTCTGTTGCGACTTTCTCAAACATCTCAAGCAAACGTGGTCCTTTTTTGTCAGATTTCATCAACTCAAACACTGCTTACCATGCCCTTAAATCCACTGACCACCTTTCACACGAAGGAGGTGTTTCTCAATAGGTCTCCTAGTCATCCCTCTCTTCCTAGGATGAGCTATCACACGACCCTTTTTAAACCACCCCCCCTTTTTGGGGATGAGCCTTCCGATAAATAACATTACCACCTTCCTTAATCTGAAGGGGTCTCAATCATAGAACAACTCAACCATAGAACAACTCGAACTGAGAGGCCTACTTATGGGTCCTCTCCACAACTCAACCGTAAACATTCGGCATGGTAAGTATTCGAGTCTCGGAGACTCGCAAAATCCCTTAGGATTCTCACTCTTTCACAATAACAGACCGCGCTCCCCCTCCTTATACTCGGCCCCGTCCCGCCTGTAGGCAGGCTGCACGAGTATACCGAAGAGTAGACAGTTCACATTCATTCATCCTCACAAAATCCACACAACTCACGAGATGTTCCTCATGCGTTTCTCACGCAAAATCATCATACATCAGGATAAAACCACACATGTGAGAGTGATTGTGATCTTCATATACAAAGAGTAGTCTCGGATAAAAACCTCAACTCAATACACACGCAGGGGTGCAATGCCCCAACAAAAACACGAACCAAATGGTCTCGAATTACATATATACACTCAGAGTTGAACAATCTCAACTCAAGCCGGCCCTGGTATCACACAAGAACAATGCGGCCTCCCTGGCCAAAGGCAAAAGCTAAAACAACTGCGACCAAGACATAGCCATACCCCTCAAGTCCGAGGGACCCAAGCCACCCAGGACATATTCAAATATCCAAAGAAAAGTAAGGCTAGAAGTCGCCCATACACCAGTCCTGCAACTTCCTTCCTCGGCTAGATGGCCTGTCTCCCACATGATGAGGTTTCTACCCGAGCCTCTCTTACCACTCACACTTATACAACCATTCAGGTCTGGACACGACGACGTAGGTCCCATACCTTCTTCTCTCAGTTTGTAGGCCTAGTAGAACAGACCCTTATTTCGTAACAATACTGTCAGGGTCAGTCCGTGCTCCATCTACTTGAGACCTTCCAATAACATGATGTGAGGCAGACCTAACATACCCCATATATACAGTTATTCTATTGGGGTTCCTCCTGCCTACAACTCGAGCTACCTTTCCGGACCATTATTATGAAAATCCCTTCCCTCTGTACGCCGCGCCTACCTACAACAACTATACGATTGGGATTTCTCGCTTGTGTTTACAGTCTGCTTAAATTTTCAGGCCCTTCTCACACGAACCCTTTCTCTTTCACGACTACACTCATGAGGCAGTGCTCGACGCTCCATCTCGCCGCAAAGCCTCCTTCCGTGTTCCCCCTGGGATGGTTGGGTCGATGTACTCCCCCGTCCTGTCGAAAACACTTCCCTCAATGTCAATCCTTTTTAGACCGCTTGCCTCATCGGCCCTTCGCTCCCGACAAAACTTCATTATGTGCCCTTCCTTGGCACAATGTCTGCAGACGTCCTTTCCCCAACCCGCTTTCTTCCCACCAGAGCCACCCTTGCCGCCACCGCATTCCCTCTTTCCATGCCCTTCATCCCTGCAACCCTTTTCTGCTTTCCGCTTTTGGCCCCCTCCACCGACCACGTAGCCTTGTGCCCCTTGTGGTATTGGCGGCTGCAATTGTCTCATACACAAGGCTGGCTGAAACTGGATTGCAGGAGGCCTGGGTGGCATCATATTCATTTGTGGGCCCAACCAACTGCCTTGTACCCAGGGCACATATGGATCATACATGGGCCTTGACTCTTCTTGACCGTATGGCCCCCACTGCCCGTATAGTGCATGCTCAATCGACGGGGGCCTCTCTTGTGCTACTCTTCCTTCCACCTCTTGCGGTGTGGCCCCCAGACCTAAGATTTTTGCCCTCTAGTCAGTGGCTCAGGAACACGGCCAATACACTGGACGTATATGCCTCGTCTCATTATCCGAATGAGGGAAATGTAGACTGGGAGGAGATTCGGGCAGTAGTGGGTCGACAGGGGATGCCGTCCTTTTCTACTAAATGTGTTTCTTTTGACTTAGCCGGAGTCGTCTCTCTGCCCATTATCGTAGTTATGAAGGTAAGCGTCAGGGTAACTAGGGGTTGAGGCCTGATCGCATGAGTAAAGGAGTAGATAGCAGGATTTAAGTGTTAGCAGTCTGCCCTTGTCTGCCTGAGCTTACTTAAATCACTGTTTTATGGTCTATTGCCCGCTGTGCGTATCAGGCTGCTGTCAGCATCATGGCGGGAGAAAGCGGTTTCGGCAAGATCTTGCTTTGGAGGAATTCGTGCCTTTTGAAGGTGTTGCTGCACGAAGTATTGCAGGCGTCAATGCCCCCAGATCTCCGCGCCCTGCTGTTCCAAGGAAGGAACCTGTCTAGCTTTCTGCGTGACTTTCAGGATTTTAGCCTTACGAAGATATGGGACGAGGAGACGATGTGGTACACGTTCCCCGTGTTCGTTTGTGAAGGACTAAGTGAGGAGGTGTACACCCTCATGTTGAAGTCGCAAACCTGGGATGAGCTGGAAGCTTCTCTGAAGTTAAGGTTCCCAGAGGATGGGGTGGAATGCAGGCTTGGTAAGGGCCCTGAGCAGCCAGCCGAGGCCGCGTCAACACAAGGAGAGCTGAGTGGTATACAGAGGCAAGTTGGGATGCTGGAAGAGAGGTTGGCGTGGTTGGAAGAAGCCAGGCGTGGCGAGAGGAAGACTTTCGAAGGAGCATCTAACGGACCAGCTGGGCAGGGTGAGGCGGAGGTAAGGGAGGATCATCAAGAATTACTCCTCCACAAGAGGACCCCGAGAGGGAAAGTTTGCGCCCTAGAAAGAGATGAAGATGAGGGGGTCATTGAGATCAAGGAGGAGCGAGAATCCAGTATGGCCCTACCCGTTATTGCGCCGGAGCCGAAGGGAGGGTCCATTGGCAGAAAGGCACCGTCGGCTGTGGGTCGGGATAGGCAAAGGAGTAAATGGTGGCCAGAGCATTGGGCAGAAGTGGTATGTGATCGTTGGGGAAAGATTGGTCGCACCCCTCAAGGAGGCAAGGAAAAAGGGGAGCCTGAACCCCCAAGTTGACGAAGGTTCAGCGGAAGGCGAGGAATCGGACCCAGGAAGGTCAGGGTACCGGAAAGGGGCAGTGCTCACAGACCATATATCAGTTCACATGTGTATCGCCCATACTCCCAATCTCGCGCCCTCAGAGCAGCTCCCGCCTCTACCCTCATCCGCCCACCAAAACTCTTCTCTATCAGAAACTCAGGCAGGATTACTCGTAGCGGAGCAGATGGACGCCCGAACTCTGCAACGCGCTCAACCCTTACGCTGGTTACTACTCGCTCTTCCCCATCACGGGACACTTCCCTCGCCCACTTTGTCGCGGCTGCCTCGGCTACCCTCAAAGGCTTAGCAAGCAAGCTTCCATGCCCGAGCGCCAACTCTATCCCATGCTCGATCCAAAAGGCGGTTGAGGCGTATAGGGTCACCCTTACGATTGCGCATTCCCGCTCATCATCAAGCCCAAACTCGATCCAGACAAAGGTGTCCGTGCCTATCAACATGCCCCACCATGACGAGATGTACTCTCCTGCTCTGACCCGCCTGGGTAAAGACACCTCGAGCCCTCGCTCTCTCTCAATTGGTCCGAGCATACGCAGGTCTTCCCGTGCATGAGGCATCCTGAGTTGCCTTTGCCTTGTCTGGGTTCTGCCCATCACAGACAAACGTCCAGCATGCGCCTTCCGTTATTAAACTGACAATCCTCACTCCTCTGGGAAGAGCGACCCAACCATACAGAATTAATGGCCAACCATGAGCCAACTGCTGGACTGGAGTCATTCATATAAATTTCTACAGACTGATAAGATCCCAATATAACCTCAATAAAATAATCCGCACGAAATACTCCTGAAAAGGGTATCTACTTAAACATATAACTCCACATAATTAGGCGTAAACTAGGCTTACAAGGTCTGGCATCCATAGATGACTCCAATATACGATTCAAAATGACATCCTCAACACAAATGATCTCAAGTCTTTTAGCTTCCTAAGTGGATGGTGCAACCCTGGAAGGGGCTCAAAGCAATGGTCTACCATAAATAATATGATATACCCTCCACTACCAGGCGCCATACAAGTCTACTACTTCCCGTAGGTCTTTCTATTGGGGCCTCACCACGATGCTCACTGCATCTCTCTACTACCTTATACGCCTAATCTCAAACATACCATGCGGGGCAAGCCTCAGACTTCTATGGCTATACACTCGAGCAGCTGCTTAGAACCCAAATTCCAGGATCCCAATTCGTACTCGTACGGCTCTCAATATCCTTAGCCTAACTCTCCTCGGAGTCCCTTAACGAGTTCTAACATAGGAGGCTTCCTTTACTCATTCTATGCCTCGCCCTAAAGCCAAAGTGCTATACTGCACCCTTGACCGCTCGGGTAACTTCCCTTAGCCATTATGGGCACCTTACACGGCCAACTCCCACAACCACCACACTTAGCTTTGTTGATACTGCCTCATCCTACCTTAGTTGTATCAAACATACCAATCATCGCCCAAACCCATCAACTATCGGGGTCAGAAGAGGTATCAACTCCAACTACTGTCATACTAGTCAAAGTACGCAAGTGCATAGTCAAAGTACGTACGAGCATAGTCAACGTGCGTGGGCACATAGTCAAAGCTTGTCCCTATCGCGCCACCCTTATTGCACCGAACCAGAACCAACTCACACAATCAATCCCTCACTTGCTTTCTATCCAACGCCTTCAATCGATCAACCATAAAGGCTCAACAAAGACCTCTCGTTTTGCCTAGTTCTCACACTCTCGTACCCGAATGTCGTTCCACCAGGGACAACGGTAGGCGACCGTTATTCCCGGCAACGGCGCCACCTGTCGTGCGCATCGGTCCGGCACCGCACGCGGCAGCGCGGGACCCTCTCGGCCGTGTCACGCAGGAGTTGGACCAACCTCGTCGCAAACACACAAGTGGAGCTTCCTTAGGCCGCTCCGGCCGAGTGCGCCAGCCATACCTCTCGCGAGCCCCTACGACAGGATAGGGCCTACGCGAGGCACAACTTACCTCCACCTTACGGGAGTTGTCACCTCCTTTCGGTGGGCGTATCCCCGTCGAGCTACCAATCCACAGTACGAAAGCTAATTAGTTGCAATCGCAGAGGTGGACCAGCCGATGGCGTTTCTCGTTCGCTGTAGCATAGGCGGTACGTGCGGTAATACGCCTATCGGACCCGCTCGTGAATCGACATCTTGGAGGGCTGAAGCCCCAAGCGTGGTTCGACGTCGGTCGACTAGGACGCATCCCATACACCACGCGCACACCACTTTACAAACACCAAAAAAATAAAACACACACACGCACACATCGAACAACGCGACAACGCTCCTAGCCCCTTAGTAGCCATCCCATAACTTTCCTATGCGGAAATCGGATAGGCGTTGAGCGCGAGCCTTGATATAAAACCACGCGAACGCAAGGCTAACTCATATCGACTCGCAATGCAAATGTACGCAAGCAGTCGCAATGATAGCGTACTATGTAGTACCCATAATCATGCGTGTTCGAGGGTCCCATTCGACACTCGAGTGTCGGCTGACACGCGCCTTGAGGGTTAATCTCTCGACGCTAGACAACCGCCAAGCGCGGTTGAAGACTACTCACCCTCTTCTGCACTTTGTGCAGAGTGGGGCAAATAGGCTTTGCACGGGGGCAGATTCCTTCCCTGCAGAGTCTAGGGCTTGGGATGTCCTGAACAAGGACCTTGAATCCCGGCCCAGGACCAACGTCCGACTATAAAAATCTCTAAGAAGCAAAGGATAAAAGGGGATCTCCCTTTTTGTCTCAGGCCATAATCTGGCTAACCCTTGCGCACGATCACAATAAGCTGCGTGCATGCCCAAGACACATATACATATATACATAAGGCTTATTTATTTAGTGATCACTTCTCACAGTCACAGTGGGACTCCTCTCAGCCACATATGTATGTAATCGCAGGCAGTCACATCCAGAAGCTAAACCACAACCATACCTGCAATCACATCAAAGATTCATCCAGAAGTCCACGCACTACACGGGGTCAACTTCAACCATTCCTTGCACTCATACCCCTCGCTTTAGCCACACAAGCCTCACTCGTGCAACTCTTAAGTAAATACTCAGTACTTTTGTTGCATGACCATTCAATAAAGTCCGGGTGAAAACACAACAAAACAGTTCAATCACAGGGCTAAAGCCTTTAGGTTGAGTGGCAGGAGTGAATTGGAGTTGAATCGTAAACCGACGAATCGACAACCGACCTCTTATTAGTGATAACAGAAGATGATCCTTGTGGGATCAAGCTGAACTAGTCAAAGTCCTGAATCGTGTGTCCAAGAAAGGTTTGTACCATAAGACAGGTCAATGCCCAAACTAAATCATCAGCATATGGGGGATGAACCCCCATAGCACATTCTCACTCAAAGTTATCTGCCAACTAAGTCTAAACCTACCTCTAAGCCAGCGCCCAAAGCAAAGGCAGACTAATGGCAGGGTGGATCGCCAGACTCGCCACCTGTCAAAATATAATCTATCTCCTTTGAACAAAGAAAATTTCGACGACGCTTCCCGTAGGAAAAGTGCCTTTCCAAAATTTATATCAGCCCGAATATGAAAACAGAATTAGTCTTTGACTTTCCAAAGTCCAATTTTGTCTAACTCCATGAATTAGCAAAAATTTGGGCAGCACTCCCTTTAGAAAAGGAGGCTTTTCATATTTTTACTAAGTCATATATAAACTTTAGACAAGTTGAACTTCGACAAGTCAAAATTTGACTAACTTCTTGGATTTGCAGAAATTTCGGCAACGCTTCCTGTAGAGAAACTAGCTTACCAAAATTTATACAAAGCCAAGTATAACAAAAAATCCCAGAAAATGCGAGAATTGATCCAAGTAAAAAAACTTAGCTCAGAAAATGCAGGAGTTGAAGCTAACTCTTATCGCTCTAGCACATGGCGAGCCTCTAAAGCAACTACCTGTCAAACTGAAACTCAGACCAAGTAGTAACCTCACTCAGTCACATGCAGGCCAAACCACAAAGGTAAGTATTATCGTCATCCCAAGTCAACTCAGCAAACAATAATCCATAGTCCTTCAATGATTTAACCCTTTATACCCCGCTTACATAAGGCGTAAAGTCAGGCCATCCAATCTTATGGAACATGCATGACTCAGCCATTAAGTATACACGAACAGGTTGCACAACTACTTTTCTCTTCCTTTGGGCAAATGACTAAGCCATTCATCTTAGAAACAATGCTTAGTAACCCTGAACTGTTTAATATCCTAATTGTATATATCTCTCTGAACTTTAATCTTCAAGGTGGGCGTAGGACTGAGCCATTCATCTTAGAAACAATGCTTAGCCGGCCCAAATTACCTTCAATTATATTCTTAATTGTACTCTCTTCAACTCATGATAAGCTATAGCCAGGCCATCCAATATTATGGAACCCATGCCTGACTAGCCTGTTCATAAATAGAATAGTATAAGGTATAGCCAAATTATAATCTTCTAGGTTCCAGCATGTGTGAGGCATTGGGCCAGACCATCCAATCTTATGGAACATATCTGGTCCTATGCCAGGTTCATTTCTCTCCGATCCACTGTGTGCGGCATGAGTCCAAAGCCGTCCAATCTTATGGACATGCTTTGTCTTCAGCGAGAATTATCCCCTCAAAATAAAACAGGAAGGGGCTGGGCCGTCCAATCTTATGGACTTGCTCAGACCCCTTTGCTAAAAAACAAATGAAACATAACAAACCCCAACTAAAACACGGCAACCAAGCCCTCCAATCTTATGGTACAGGCTTGACTCCTGAAAAGTCGACCACAGTCAAACCCTCACAATTCAGAGCAATCAGACCATCCAATCTTATGGAACTTGTCTGATTCTCAATGCAGCTTAAGAAATAAGACACAACGGTCAGACCATCCAATCTTATGGAACATGCCTGACCCCATAGGACCCTGCCAAACTTAAGCAAAACCACCTTTCAGCCACCCTTCCCCCAGATGCAATTCCCCTTTATCCACAATCTGCCTTCAGGCAATCAACAAAGCTGAAACTGAGATTGCAAAGA